ACCTTGGATGTTTTATTCCAGTAAGCCCAGAAAGAAAAAGACATGGGACTCAGAAAATAGGAGATGTAACACAAGAAAGAAATGGAAAATTCACAGAATAATAGTGAAGAGATATTTTAGGATAGCAGATACACATCAGATCTAGAAAAACAAACATTACAGACAAGAACAAGAAAATACAAGTGTTCCTGAAGGATTATTCCAGGGGTAAAATGAGAGATTATATTCACTTGACTATATCAAGAGGAAATAGAGAATTGAATTAATGAAAGGTACATAGAAAAATAAAGCAAAGAAAAAGTAAGGAAATTCTTAAAGAAACAAAAAAATGCACAAGAAATAAAATGTGATCAAATTATCACATATGACTATATACTACTATATATGACTATATATGTGACTATAGTAGTATATATGTAGTAGTAGTAGTAGTAGTCATATATATATATGACTATAGTAGTACTATAATTTGATCACATTTTATTTCTTGTGCATTTTTTTGTTTAAGAATTTCCTTATTTTTTCTTATTTTTTCTTTTTTTATAAATAAGGAAATAAGAATTTCCTTATTTATAAATATTATTATATTTATTAGAAATAAATTTCTAATAATTTATTAGAAATGAGATACCAAAATTATCAATGGGTGCAGAAGAGTGTTAAAGAGATGGTAAATGAATGGCCTGAGAGAGGAAGATGTTACTATATAAGGAGACCATCAAAGGAAGAGAGGTTTTACAGGAGAGAAGAATAATAGTTTTTAGAGAGCAAAGGGGATAACGATTCCACTTTTCAGTCCTGAAGTATTTATGGGATGAGAATGTCAGCATGCTCCACTTTTAAAGGCTACAAGTGAATCAAGTTTCAGTTGAGACTATGAGGGAGCATTTGGTGAAGACAAATTCAGTGGAATTGTCGATCATGATATAAGACATATTCTGAGTTCAGATGGAGTAGAGAAGAGAGAAATTGGGCCAGGGGAAAACTTCAGTACATTGTGGGGATGAGAGAAGCAACAGAAAAGATGACCAGAAGAGCCTAAGTTTTGGGACAATGAAATGGAAAACAGTCTTAAGTGAATGGAGCTCCAAAAGTTTCAGTGGACAGTGGACCCTCTGGCCAAATGGTTTAGGTACAAGCCTGGATAGTCTTTTTCCTCTTAATTTATATTTAAAAATTTACAGTGGCGGCAACAGACAGGTATAAAGAAATAGTTACATGGTTCGACACAATAGGGTGAGTGATAGGCACTGGGCAACACAGGCATCAGAAGTCGATTGTGTATTCATCTGTGGGTCAGAGAGGCAGACAGGACATGACATTATAGCTGTGTGGTTGATGTGACTACCAGTGACTCAAATTAAAAACCTGGGAACTAGAGAGTATTGTGATAAGTGAAATAAGTCAATCAGAGAAAGACAATCATCATATGCTCTCCCTGATATGAGGAATTAGAAAGGCAGGGTGGGGGGTCATGGGGGTTAGGGAGGGAAAAAATGAAACAAGATGGGACCTGGGAAGGAATACAAACCATAAGAGATTCTTAATCTCAGGAAACAAACTGAGGGTTGCTGGGTGGTAGGGGGAGGGATAGGGTGGCTCATCATCACTTAGCTTTACAACTGTAATAACTACCACAGACATTTACTAGGTGCCTAAGTATGTCAGATATTTACTAGATGCATTTACTTGCTACCTAATATATGCCAGGTCCCAGGTAGAGACTGAGAAACCACCAACCCATAATCAGGGATTTCAAGTAAGATCAACTAAAATAAGCATTAAAAAACCTTGAGATTCAGGCTCCTAGAAATGTGAAGTGTAGGAGTTCAAGAGATAGAAAGTAATGAAGAAAGGTTATTCTTTTAATGATTTTGGTTGGCTTTCTACAGAATGCCAAGTGCAAATAACCATCTGAAAGTGCTGACTTATGAACCTGTCCTCAAAATATCATTTTATTAATTTTGGAAGTTAAAGAAAGGATAAGGAGGTTTGGGCTGAATTTCCAACAATTCTTAAACATTTTCTACTCCCTTCCTTCCAAATTTGACTTAACCTAAGCAATTTAAAACACAAAATGCTATGTTGTTTTTATAAACTAACACTACTTTCTAGTAATAAACTTATGTTGGTAAGTCAAATAAATTAACCAAAAAAGCTCATGTTTCAAATTAATGCTCATTTAGTACTACTCTGTAGCCAGCAAACTATACCATGTCTACGAATTCAAAAATGAATAAGACCAAGATATTTTCTTCAAAGAACTTACCTCAGAGGAAAATAGAACATGTAATTGGGAAGCAATGTGATTAGTGTTCTGGGAACTCAGAGGAAGACTCCAATCATTCTTCTTGGAAAGACATTCACAGAAGTAGTGACCTTTTAGTTAGAATGACAAGTTTTTCAAATAAATTGTCAATAGCTGATGGTGGTTGGGAGGGAGGGAGGAGAGCCCTAAATATATTCATTTATTCATTTATGAATTCATTTTTTGTTTGTATGTTTGTTTCTTTTTAGTTTCAAGTTTTTATTTAAATTCCAGTTAGATAACATACAGTGTAATATTAGTTTCAGGTATAGAATTTAGTGATTCAATACTTATATATTACACCCAGTGCTCATCACAGCTGGTGCCCTCCTTAACACCTATCACCCATTTAACTCATCTTCCCACCCACCTCTCTTCTAACAACCCTTGGTTTGTTCTCTATAGTTAAGAGTTTATTTCTTGGTTAGCTCTCTCCTCCCCACCCCGCTCTGCCATGTTCATTTGTTTTATTTCTTAATTTCCACATATGAGTGAAGTCATATGGTATTTGTCTTTCTCTGACTGACTTATTCCACTTAACACAATAGTCTGTAGCTCCATCCACGTCATTGCAAATGGCAAAGTTTCATTCTTTTTGATGGCTGAGTAATATTCCACTTTGTAGATACACACCACATTTTCTTTATTGATTCATCAGTCATTTGAGCTCATTCCATAATTTGGCTATTGTTGATGCTGCTGCTATAAATATTGGTGTGTACTTATCCCTTCAAATTAATATTTTGTACCCTTTGGGTAAATACATATTAGTATAATTGGTGGGTTGTAGGGTAGTTCTATTTCTAACTTTTTTGAGGAACCTCCATACTGTTTTCTGGAGTGGCTCCACCAGTTTGCATTCCCAGCAATAGTGTAAGAGGGTTCCCTTTTCTCCTCATCCTCTCCAACACCTGTTGTTTTCTGTGTTGTTAATTTTAGGCATTTTACTGGTATGCGGTGATATCTCATTGTAGTTTTGATTTTTATTTCCCTGATGATGAGTAATGTTTATCATCTTTTCATGTTTCCATTAGGTATCTGGATATCTTTGGAAAAATATCTATTCATGTCTTCTGCCCATTTTTTAACTGTAATATTTGTTTTTTGAGTGTTGAGTTTTATAAGTTCTTTATAGATTTTGGATACTAGCCCTTTTTCATATATGTCATTTGCAAATATCTTCTCCCATTCTGTAGGCTGCCTTCTAGTTTTGTTGATTGTTTCTTTTGCAGAAGCTTTTTATTTTGATGAAGACCCAATAGTTTATTTTTGCTTTTGTTTCCCTTGCCTCTGGAGATGTGTCTAGTAAGAAGTTTCTACTGCCAACATCAAAGAGGTTACCGCCTCTTTGTGTTCGCCTCTAGGATTTTAATGGTTTCCTATCTCTGGCGTAGGCCTTTCATCCACTTTGAATATATTTTTATGTATGGTTTCACAAAGTGGTCCAGTTTCATTCTTTTACATGAAGACATACAATTTCCCAATACCATTTGTTGAAGGGACTATTTTTCTTCCTGCTTTGTTGAAGATTAATTGACCATATCGTGTGAGTCTATTTCTGGGTTTTCCATTCTGTTCCATTGATCTGTAGGTCTGTTTTTGTGTCAGTACCATACTGTCTTGATCCTTACAGCTCTGTAATATAACTTAAAGTCTGGAATTGTGATGCCTCCAGCTCTTCTTTTCTTCTTCAAGATTGCTTTGAATTTTGGGGGTCTTTTATGATTCCATACAAATTTGTTTATTTCACTCTACATTTGTTATTAAATATTTACTGTATGTCAAGCTATAAGACAAATGCAAAATAAATAAAACATAGTTCCTACTCTCAAAAGACTTAGCGTCTAGAAGAATAACATGAAAATCAATAGATTTAATGAAGTGTTGTAAGTGACATGGTATAAGCCTGTGCAAGATTTCATGGCATTTGGTCAGTTTAACCTAGAGAAAGATATTATTGGAATTTCTACCATGATCATAAGTTGCTTTCTACCATTAAAATCAAACGATTCATAAAGATATGTTCTCATTCTGAAGCAAAAAAACAATCCATCTCTAATCTGTATCTCCAATAGAATAGAAGCTTCATGAATACAGGGACTTTGTTTAATTCATCACTCTATCCCAGTAACTAGATCAGTGCTTGGAACATAGGGGTTATTTAATAAATATATGTTCATTAGTGGATTGAATTTATAGGCCAAAAAGAGGTCATCATAAACCTTAGAAGTGAAACTTGAATATTTTTACAGAAATGGAAAAAATATAATTTTTCCAACAAATTCCAGATATTTCTGTTCTGCCATGTAATTTGTGTAAAATTAAAAAAAAAAACATTATAGTTCTGTGTATCAAGTAAGCATGGTAATTGCATTGCACTGAGTCAGGATTGTATTCTGGGGAGATTCTGCCATTCCAAAACTGTGTGATGATGGGAAATATCTTAACCTCTCTGAATTCCATATCTTTATTTGTTAAATGGAAATAAAACCAATCTCACATACCTTGCAGGGCTGTTCAAGTATTAAATGATGTAATGCATGTACATGTTCTATATAAACTTGAAAACATTATATAATTATAAAACGTATACTAAAATTAAATTTCTAAGGTTTTAATATTACAGGAATGCCCTCCAAATTCAGTCAATTAAGCATGGTTTGTTGGTTTTTTTTTCTGTTTTTTTCTCTAGTGCAGTGCCTGGAGATGACCACCAAACGGAAAATCATCGGCCGACTGGTGCCGTGCCGATGTTTCCGAGGTGAAGAAGAAATCATCTCAGTTTTAGACTACTCCCACTGCAGTCTTCAGCAGGTGCCAAAGGAGGTCTTTAACTTTGAGCGGACGTTAGAGGAGCTTTATCTAGATGCCAATCAAATTGAAGAGCTACCCAAGGTAATCTTTGACAACCAAAAATATACACCATAAATGAGTATTTTATGATATCCAAAACTTGGCATAATAATAATGTTAATTACAGCTTTCTTCTGCGTAATTGGCAGGTTGTTCAAACTGATATAACTTTCCCCAGTATTCTTGTTGGTACCTTTTAATACCACTTCATTTGTAACTTCATGTGATGTGTTAATGACCAATTGAGCTCCATGAAAATCATCATTTTATGAATTATATCTTATTTTATTTATTTTTAAAAGATTTTATTTTTCACTTATATGAGAGAGAGAGAGAGAGCACAAATGGGGGGTAAAGCAGAGGGAGAGGGAGAAGCAGACTCCCTGCTGAGTGCAGAGCCCAGTACAGGGATCTATCTAAGGACACTGGGATCATGACCTGAGCCTAAGGCAGAGGCTTAATTGACTGGGCCACCCAGGTGCCCCTGAATTACACCTTATTTTAATTGAAAATGGCTTCCATGAAAATATAGATTGAGATCAATATCAGTGAGTTGAGTTCATTAGCTTATATTTGGAAAATGATGGAAAGATATGACACTGTATTCCAGAAGTGAAATTTTTATCATTAAGGAGACATTGTTTTAAAACCTTTAATTGTTATGTTCTAAGTCTGAGAAATGCATACACACATGCACTGTTACATGTTTAATACTATTATGAAAAACATGCTGTTATTTCTGGAATTTGGAATTTTTTATTATTACAGTCATTACTGAATATATGGCATGTAAGTATAAACAGAGTAGAGCTAAAAATTTAACTAATATCAAATTTTGCACACACACTGCCATTATGACATTGTGCTAGGCAAAGAAAATCTCTCCTGTCTCCTGTTCTCCACTGCAGAAAAGACTAGATGATAAAAGATTAGCTAACACAGACCAAGCCACACAGCAGAGAGGTTCAAAATCTAAACCACTATATATTAATGACCATCGAAATAAATGACTCACATTAAATAGTAGGCATAGCATTTACTTGTGAAGGATTTACACAGTGGCTCAGAGGGAAAAAATGTCTTACTACACATTTCCATTGAATATGCTAAAAAATGCATATTTAAATACCCAGAAACCAGGAAAAGAAACTTCCATAATAAAAACTCACTTCATTATCAAATTCTGAGAATAATGTGCTGATCAAACCAAATTATGAATAATTGTTTTCACTTAGGATTATAAATTATAAATTATGAATTATAATTATAATTATATCATATAGAATTATATATAATATATAATTATATTAATTATTATTAATATAATACTTCAGAGGCAGGAACTATTTAATTTGTACTCCAAAACAAATATACTTCATTTTTGACAACCCAACTATATAATGTTGTCTTAGATTTGGGGTCAGGAGATCTGGGTCAGGCCTAAAAAAATTTTAACTGTATTGATTGCCATGTAGATGCATATCAAGAAGAGGCTGGCATGAAATGGGCTGTTTCTCCCAAAGACTACGAACTTCTTGAGGGCAGAGATGTCATCTTACTCATCTTTGCCTCCTTGTACACGTTACAACTTTCACATAATGGATATTCAATCTCTTTCTTGTCCTGCCAGGTAGAACAATGAAGAGAACTTCATATACTATAGGACTTGATTAGCAAAATGGTGTAAAGTTTAAGTGACTCACAAATGTGACATTTAGCTCTAATTTAGAAAAATAAATATTTTTTTAGAGCAGCCTCATCTAATGTTGCCAGATAAATAAAGGACATCCACTGAAATTTAAATTTTAAACTAAAACCCAGAATTTTTGGCATAATTATGCCCCCAATATTGCATTTGATATATTAAAAAAAATAGTTATTTAACTTGGCATGCTGTATTTTTATCTGCTGAATCTTGGGAGCCCTAAACCAATCTAGTTATTTAACGTCTTTTTCTAGAGCTATGCAACAAATTCTGTAAGACAAATAGTAAAAAATGGTTTATCAATCAAGTATTTATTTAATATCTATATTACTACACAGTGTTTGAGGGTTTAGGCAGGTTAAAGAGAAATCAGCCTCAATCCTTATTCTCGAGGATCTAACCACCTAATCACAGAGAAAACTAAAGCATTAGTGGCAGAAGCATGATAATGTGTAATTAGAGCCAAAGAGTCAAATACTGCTGTAGAGAAGAGTTTCATTGTTGCAGGGGTGGGGGAGGACTTGACCAAAAGGTAAAGATGCAAAAATTAAGATGTTACGTATGGAGAAGGTGAGGAGAGACACAGTAGAGCTGTGAAGAGTCTGGAAATGCAGGTACACATGAGGGAGTACCAACAACATGTAAGTAGAGGAGGGAGAGCGTAGAGGACACAGATTATGAAAGGCATTGAGAATCACACAGCATTGTTTGACTCAATGAATTAGGCAGATAGTGTTATTGGAGAGTCTTATATGTCATGTATGTCACCAGTAGCCTATGTAAGCTTGGATTAACGGTACATAAAAATAATACAAGTGAACCAGAGACAATTTAATTTCCCAGTGTGTTGAATTGAGGAGAAATTGTTATCTTTTATTATTGTTATGCTTTATATATTTCAAAGATCTTTCACATAATCTCTCAAGGTTTCTTTGAGTTCCCAAATTCAAGGTGTTGCTTTCATAAAACAGCCCTGTGTTACTTTCTTCTAATGTATTTGATATTGAGATACGATCTAAGTTATCTGAAATTGAGACATGATTATAACAGTACCTGGATATATTTGTGCATATTAGAAAAACAGGAAGTCAAACAAAAGCTCTCTGTTTTTCTGAGAAGGATAAGAAAGTTTCAACTTGTTCTTACGTTTCATTGGCCTTAATTGTGTTATATGTTCATTGCTGATCCAATCCCTTTGCTATAGAATCCACAATGACAAGATATATGAGATTACTTTGATTGAATTAAACACTAGTAGGCCACCTCTGTGGATTTGTGATTGCTGGTCACAACATAAAGGGAAGGAGTACAAGGACTGTAGGGAGATTACCACAGTGTACACTACAAACAAAATGTTATATAGTCATTGTTTCCTGAGGAAAAGTAGATGAAGTATTGACTCTCTAGGGAGTTTAATCTTTAAATTTAAATTAAATAATTTTTTTTTGTCTGCCATTTTATTTCACAGTTTTCTTTATGTTTCCTTGGCATTGTTACCGTGGTAATTCCAAATTTGTTGAGTAAATGAGATAGTTATTTGTATTTTTGACATTATATTACGGAAAGAATTACCTTTGTAATTTTTAAAAAAAATTTTTCTTTCTGATATTTTATTCAGAGCCTATTCTAGGTGACCAAGAATTACTACTCTAAAATGTTATACAACAGGTATAGAATAGAGTGAAGGTTAATGACATTAGAAAAAGATATGTCAAGACTGTGTCAGAAAAGATGCAAAAATAGAAATGAAAGAACAGGAAGGTTTTTGATTAGGAATGGTTCAATCTGTGTTACTTAATTTGCTATATAGTAAAAGGTAAAAATACAAAATGACATGCCTTTCATGCAATAATAGAAAACCTGCACAGCTTATAATTTAGTACTGTTTTGCTTGTTATTTTGAACCAGGAACTTAAAATTATAGACAGAATAATAGACCATAACATATTATATGTAAAGTAGTGTGGGCAGACAAAAGTTAAAATAAAAAGGCAATAAAGAGAAAAATTGCTGAGAAACTTCTTGAAACAGAAGAGGAAACTTAAAAAAAAAAAAGAAAAGAAGTAATTTGGAAAAGCTAATATGTGACCAAAATTGAGAGACATAGAGAGTGAATTTGACAGATGAGGTCAATTTAACCACATGTAAAAGGGGATGGAACAAAATCTGAAGGTAGCAACCTTAGAAAACTTTCTCCATACTAAACTTTACAATCTACCCTTGAGACATTTTATTTTTTATTTTTTTATTTTTTTTTAAAGATTTTTTATTTATTTATTTATTTTGACAGACAGAGATCACAAGTAGGCAGAGAGGCAGGCAGAGGGAGAGAGAGGAGAAAGCAGGCTCCCTGCTGAGCAGAGAGCCCAATGTGGGGCCCGATCCCAGGACTCTGGGATCATGACCTGAGCCGAAGGCAGAGGCTTTAACCCACTGAGCCACCCAGGCGCCCCCCTTGAGACATTTTAGAGACTAAGAACCTGACCTTTGGACCCAGACAAACGTGGGATTAGATTTTAGCACTGCTATTTGGTTGGTAAGATATTTTATTTTCTGGGAGTCTCAGTTTCTTCATTAGCAAAAATGGGAAAATAATAGAGGTTGCTAGTGATTAGATAGATGATGGGCAGATAAATAGATAAGTGCGTACTGGGTGAGATGATGCATATGGAATACCTGGAATAAAGAAATACGCAATGATCAGTAGTCATCATTCTCCCATCACTGATGAAGGATAATCCCCATGTTAATTATCCTGAGTAAAACAAAAGTAAGATTTTGGTAACATCCCAAGATAGTTCTGGGCATTGGATCTCTAAAAAAAAAAAAAAAAAAAATCGTGTGGCATGACTTTATCTCTAAAATCTCCAAAGACAACTTCTAAGAAATCAATTCCCCGTCTGTAATGGGTGTAGGTTTTTGACTCTACCAGCTGCACCAACACATTTGTGATAACACCATGGTTTACACAGAAAATTTCCCTGGCTCAAAGATATCACAATGTTGTATTATATTTGAATAGATGCAACCTTGGAGATTGTTTAATATAGCCCTCAATTATTACTAATAAGCAAACCCAGGCCAGAAAAGTTAATTAGCTTCTTTTAGGACACATGGGATGTTAGGTTCCTATCCAAAATTATTACCAAAGACTGTGCATTCATTAGGATAGAATAGGCTATGCTACAGTAACAAGTCAAAAGCTCAGTGTGTAACTGAACAAAAAAATTTCCCAATTTTATCCCTGTACACACAGTGGCCATGACTACTGGGGAAAACACAAGTAACTTCTAGGCAAGTTCCTATGGTGGGTTTGTACTATCATTTTGCTTTTTAT